AACTTTGATTATTTGGGGCTTAGTACGTAAACTGCTATATTTAAAAAAAAAATAAACAGCAAAGTAAAACAAATAAAAATTGGCAGAAGTAACAAGCTAATAATTGTCTTTTGTAAGGTGAAGGTAAAACAATTTCAACTCGTCGAGGGTATTGGGTCAATGTAAGTCAGGAAAGTCTTCGCATTACCAATGGATACCATAATCCCACCTCGTCCTTGACTAGGCTGTAGTAATGGAATTTATAATCAACCCTATCGCTGTCATACACTCACACATTTTCTGGAATATTTTCCAAAAAGCTTTGTCGATCGATGGGACCATCTGTGACGTTAATATTACCCCCGTTGAAATTAAAGATGCGGCACATGTACGACCAAGTTCGTTCTTATTGAAAGAGGTTGGAAATATACCCATTATTTCTTTTCGAAAGGAATAGAAGTTTTATGCTGGAGCCTGTAGTTGTACATAAATTTCTTCCTTGGTTCTCCAGCTGAATACTATTTGGCAAATAATTATTGTTCCGAACAGCCTGTTCTCGCTGCCTTCATTCGTTTTCAATATGAAATTTTGCTTTATTGAGGTTTCTTAGAGATAGATTAACAAATCCTTTTATGTTTATTTAAAATTATTTCAAACTATTTACAATATACAATTTGTTATTTGATTCGATATTAAAGATCAAACGATCTCTCGTTCATTGGATAATAATATAACAGTGAACTGACCCCTTTCCGAACGTCACGTTCAGCCGAAATATCTCCTTTGCGCTCTCAAAATTAAAAAAAAACTACATCCCTTAATCTCCAAGTTTCATTGTTTTTCTATTTTTTAATTTTCATCAACAGGCTGTACGAAATTAAAAGCATACCGTGAACTTTGTTAGTAATACACATAAGTATTATGAGAACCAAACTGACAAAGCAAAGAGATTTAAATTAACTATACTTTTGCTCCATTAAACAAACAACAAATCTAGAAAATGATGTTTATTTAATATATTAATTACAATCGGTACTCGTATTTATGTAATGACTTGTCTAGAAGAAGCATTTAGTGCTCGCCAAAGCCTTTCCAACCAAATGTGAAATAAATAATGTAGAAAAAAACCTGGAGTTCAATGAAGACTTTTTTTATTCTTTCCTGTAAATTGTCTAAGAAGGAGCTCAGAGGTGCTCTTAAAAAACTTTCCAACGAAATGTGAATTAAATAATGTAGAAAAAAACCTGAAGTTCAATGAAGACTTTTTTATTCTTTCCTGTAAATTGTCTAAGAAGGAGGTCAGAGGTCTCATAAAAAACTTTCCAACGAAATGTGAATTAAATAATGTAGAAAAAAACCTGAAGTTAAATAAAAACGTTTTTGTTCTTTCCTGACTATTTGGCTAAAAGGAGCTCAGAGGTCTTAATAAAAGCCTTTCCAACCAAATGTGAAATAAATAATGTAGAAAAAAACCTGAAGTTAAATACAATTTTTTTTATCGTTTCCTGCCAAATTGTTTACAAAGGAGCTCAGAGGTGCTCGTATAAAACTTTCCAACCAAATGTGAAATAAATAATGTAGATAAAAAACCTGAAGTTCAATAAAAACGCTTTTATCCTTTCCTGACTAGTTGGCTATAAGGAGCAAAACGGTGCTCCTAAAAGCCTTTCCAACCAAATTTGAAATAAATAATGTAGAAGAAACCCTGATGTTGAATAAAAACCTTTTTTATCTTTCCAGACTAGTTGATTAAAAAGGGCTCAGATGTGTTCGTAAAAGTCTTTCCAATAACATTTAAAATAAATAATGTAGAAAAAAACTTGAAGTTCAATGAAGAATTTTTTATTCTTTCCTGTAAATTGTCGAAGGAGCGCAGAGTTGCTCATAAAAAACTTTTCAACCAAATGTTAAATAAATAAAGTAGGAAAAAACCTGAAGTTGAATAAATTTTTTTTGTCCTTTCCGACTAAATTGTTTAAGGAGGAGCTCAGAGGTGTTTGTAAAAAGCTTTCCAACCAAATGTGACATACAAAATGTAAAAAAAAACCTGAAGTTAAATAATTTTTAAAAAAATCCTTTCCTGTCAAATTGTTTAGGAGCTCAGAGGTGCTCGTAATAAACGTTCCAACCAATGTAGAAAAAACCCTGAAGTTCAATAAAAACATATTGTCCTTTCTTTTTAATTTGACAAAAAAGGCTGTCAACGGGTTGATGAAAACAACAATCCCTAGTTTTGATTCGATAAATTTTATTTTTTATTTATCGTGAGATTTCTTTTTTCTTCCTCCATTGTTTTGTGTGCTCGGCCGTCTATTCGTGAGCAAACTCATATTCCATACAAGTACAAAGCGACGAAGCTTCTCAACAACAAAAAAAGGAAAAAGGACGAAGAGGGGTTTCATTAAGCTGTGAGAGTGTTGTTAAAGCGATTTCACGCTGATTGAGATCCATCGGCCACGCGTTTGTTTTGGTCTCTTTTATTCGGAATTTTTCGCCCTGCTGCGAATTTTAGCTTTTACTCAGGTCCTAACCAAAGCATTTGATACATGTTACAGGCAGAAAAACATGTTTATGGGCTCACAATGGAATGACTGATACTTTCAGAAAACCTTATCTCAAATTGATCAAAGGTATGCCACTAGCAAGTTGTACCTAGCAAAAACATTGTTTTAACCCCAAATTAGCAAATTTTTAAATACATATTTATCAAACTAAAATTTATTTATCTTTGGGTTACCTTGACAGAAAAAAGTCTCGTTTTGATTTAATATTGTACATATTTTTTTCTTCTAAATTCAAATAATAAATGCTCAGAAGGAAACTGTTCTTTCTTATTTAAAGAGTAGGAAGTTTTCTTAGCCAACGGGATCTGAAGAGAATCGAATTTGACAAGTTGTAAATTAATTTATCAACGCGGGCTTAATTGGAGGAGTCCAACTTTCTTTCTTTTTTTTCTTGATACTTTTATCCGATAAATCAACTTATGAAAAGACCGGTGTGTCGATTGTTCCAGTTGAGAAAGATAACGTTGCCGGGAGGGAAAAATTGACAGCCCCCATCCTTCTGTCACGATATTCAAAACTGTTTCTGCTCGATGGTCCAGTTCGATTTGTATCAGTTTATGGGAAAAGAAATACCTTTGAGCACATAGTTTTAAGAAACAAAAAGTTCGTAATAAGTCAAAATATAACGATAAAGAAATGAAATATTGTAGTACGAAAATTCATTTTTACGGTTGTTTTCGTTCCAAATATTTTTCTTTTTACAAAAAACCATGAAATACATCAATCTGATTGAAAATTGCTATCTAAAAAACATAACTTTAAATTCAGAACATAGAAAACAACATCTAAGGAAAATATACGCTTGTTATTAAGCGAGATTGTTGTCAAGGTTAAAACTTTCAAAAAGGGAAATATTTCCTTTTTTAGAAGGAAAAATGCTTTAAAAGGACCGTCGACGACCAGCTAAAAGCTTTAATGAAGGATAATTTACGTTGTATCATTTAAGAGATTCCCGTCGTACTCAAGGGAAAAGTAATATCTTATTCAACAAAACTCGGGTCTAGACCAGAAAATAGACCTGCTGGAATATTATCGCCGTTGATCCTTTGCTGCTGGAATCCTTAATTTAAGCGACAAAATGTACTGCCTGGAATAGGTTACAAATGTTTTTCGCAAGAATATTTCAGTGAATTATTCATTTAAGAAGATTTTAAAAATTATTTATTTAAATCTTTGTTAAATAATTTAATAATAATTGTAAGTTTGTTTGGAAAGACCTTTAACAGCTCTACGAGCTCTTCCAGAGACAATTTGATCAGGAATAATTTTTAAAAAATTATTGAACATTATACTAAATTTTTTAGATTCTTTGTTTTATGTTTGGTTGGGAAGACTTTTAAGAGCTCCTCTGAGCTCCTCAGCCAACTTGGCGAAGGACGATAAAAAAAACTCTTTCTTGAAATTCAAAGAGCTTTTTTTTTTACATTCTTTCTTTCAAGTTTGGTCGAGAAAGATATTACGAGTTCCTCAAAGCTCCTCTTCAACCAATTTGACAAGACAGTACAAAAAGCCCAATAATATAATAAACTGAATAATACAATGACAGAATAATAACGACCAATGAATAAAAAGGCGTCGAATTTAACTGAATTTTCATTTGCATTATTTATAATGCGTTTGGCTGGGATGGCCTCGAATGGCTCTGTAAGGTTCCTTCTCAGCCCAATTTGTATATGAGAATAAAATGAACTCTTTATTGAACTTAACTGTTCTTTTTTTTATGTTGAGACACGTTTGGTTGGGATGGCCATGAAGAGCTCCTGGGAACCTCGGCCAATTTGGCAAGGGAGGATAAAAAAATCTTTCTTGGATTTCTCAGGAGCTTTTTTAAATATTTTTTCTTTCAAATTTGGTTGAAAATAATTTTACGACTCCTGAGCTTCTCCTCAGCCCATTTGGTATAAGAGAATAAAGTGAACTCTTTATTGAACTTAACTGTTCTTTTTTTATGTTGAGACACGTTTGGTTGGGATGGCCTTGAAGAGCTCCTGAGAACCTACGCCGATTTGGGAAGTTAGGATAAAAAAAATCTCTCTTGGATTGCTCAGAGCTTTGTTAAATATTTTTTCTTTCAAATTTGGTCGAAAATATATTACGAGCTCCTCGGCTACTTCTCAGCCAATTTAACAGAAATAGGAGAAGACTGTAGACTGTAAAGCCTAGATTTTGGCAAATTTTAACATATTTGGACCAATTTGATCAATATTCCTCATAATTAGTTATTAACCATATTATTCGAAAGACTGAATCTTGATATTACAACAATATTAATTTAACAATTATCAGGGTTATTTTTTATACTTAAGATTAGTACCTTTACTAATGCTTTATTTTTCCGTGATTTGTCTGAGTTTTGTTTTAACTATCGTGTCCATTACATCATTTCGAGGATTACCCCTCGGATATAATGTCACAAAAAATATTATCTTACGACAGTAATAAAAAAACCATACTTACGGTGATGTTGTAATCCTTCGGAGGCAGGGCTGGCGGAGGCTGCGCCTGTGGCCCATTCGTACTCTAAAACAATGAGAAAAATAAATCTTCAGAAAATAAAGGATTTTAAGATTAAAAGCCAATTTAGAAGTGAAGGACGGTTTATTAAGTTTCAACAATACGACAGTTAAAATTCCAGCACTTTGACGGCCGCGAGCTTCATTCGAATGAACGCCAATGCTTCAAACTGAATCCATGGGTGGGAATTGAATAAAAAAAATCTACGACGAATCACAATTGAATATTTGAAGTAAAAGTTGATCGAATCTTTCATACGTACGTTTTTTTATATTGAATAATTTCATGCTAATATTGAGCCACCGTGCTAATTATTAAGAAAAGTCATCTGGGTTCCCTAACAAAGGTTCATTTTAATTGACAATCCCAATTAAGCATTATCGTTTGTGTTTTACTTTCTAAAAGGTTTTGAAAAATTCAATTAAAATTTCATAATTTTGGAATAACGATTCTTCATTAATAGTTTATCAGTATGACCACATTATCAAATTGATAAGGCAAGTGTTCCAGGAATACGCATTAACACTTCAATTACAAACATTAAACCTGAATTGAATGCTGTCAAAAATTCCATTTGATAAAAAACGTTCTTCTTTAAATTTCCCTTTGGTGAAAATTAAATAACTCAACATCATTTTGCTTTTAACTCCCTTTTTCAAATTATGTATGATTTGGATGTCCATTTTTGCAGCATTTGGCAATGAATAAGGTGTTAAACATCTAAAAATGCTATGCTCGTGCTAATTCAATTAATTATTGTCATTCTATAATTCAAATTTCACGTAGAATTTTAAAAATTAGTCTTTTCAAAAACAAAACATGTAATGTATTTCAGATCACTAAAAATGTACAGAATTTTCTACCTCTTTGCGAAGTTTCTTTTATAATCATTTGTACAGTTTCATTTTTAACATATTCTCCAGCTTAATTCTAGCTTTGGTCCCCTGGGTGAGAGGGCTGCCCATTCTTTGGCCAGTTGGCCGCCTGTTCGATCCTGCAATGCTTTCATGTCCAGCAGCACATTTTAAATTACTCAATTAATTAAGGTTTTTAGTTGAGATAAAAAAGCCAGTGTCACGAGCGGGATTCGAACCCACGACCTTTCGGGGTTCGAATCCCGCTCGTGTCACTGGATTTTTTATCTCAACTAAAAACCTTAATTAATTGAACGATATTTTTTTCACGATTTTTCTCATAAATTTTAACTAACAATTTATTTCATGGATATGCTCATAAAATTTAGCTAACAATTTATTACATAGTTTTGTTCGCAAAATTTAACTAAGAATTTTTTTACACGGTTTTGCTCATAAAATTACTTCATTTTCGTCGAGTAGCGTCAGAACCGGACCCTCATATGTTTTGTAGTTTATTTCGAACAATGTATGTGTAATTTTGTCGTTATATTAATTACAACATGTTATTTTAATGTAAACCAAATTAAACGAGATCAAAAATGCGTTAGTTTTTATAAGAATTATTTAATTATGATGGTTAGGCAGAAAATTTATCGAAACATAGGAAAAACTTTATTTAAAACTATTAAATTTATCTGACAATGTATTACATGGTTGTGCTCATAAAATTTAAGTAACAATTTATTACAAGGTTTTGCCCAAAATATTGAATGAAGAACTGTTTTGGCCAGAGCAAAATAGAGGCCCCGCTCTTTGTCCCTTTGAGTCCTCTCCCTTCCTCCTTTTTCCCAGTAGTTCTGATTTTAATGTCCAGTACGAATCTATTGTGAATGACTCTCGGCTCACCTCTCCTCTTTTTAAAAAAACCTCCTGTGAGCACCTCTCCTAATCCCCTTAAATTTTTCTTTAACTTTTCCCAAATTTCCCATACTATCATTCACATCCTGCAGGTCGTTTACGGCGTTGTAACGGGGCCCCGGCCTCGCGACGGCCCTTCAGTGAGGGATTCCTTTTTTCTTTATACAGGCAACGCAAATCGTAAGTTTTTTGTTTATTTCTTTTTTTTTTATTTTATTTTTGTATCCAGCCAAAACAAGCACAAAAGAGGCGTTGCGATTATGATACTGATTATTGTGATACACGTGACTGTTCGTGGCGTGCGCTTGACGTCGGATAGATGTGCACACCACACCAAAACGTGTCAAGGCGTCGGGTAGCGTCGCATAGCATCGCATCTGGTGTGTTCCCCGCTTAAAGCCAGAAACACACTTACCCGATTCTACGCCATGCGACGCTACCCGATGCTACCCGACGCCTTGCCACGTTTTTGTGGGGGTGCACATCTATCCGACGCAAGCACACGTCGCGTACTGTCCACAGCGTTTATCACAATAATCACTATCACAATCGCAACGCATCTTTTGTTCTTAATGCACTATTTCGAGCAAAACCTTGTAATAAATTGTTAGTTAAATTTTATGAGCACAACCATCTAATAAATTGTTTGTTAAACTTAATTGTTTTAAATAAAGTTACTCCTAACCATCATAATTAAACAATGTTTATAAAACCTTATGCATTTTTTCTCTCGTTTAATTTGGTTTACCTTAAAATAACATGTTGTAATTAATATAACGACAAAATCACATGTACTTAGTTTGAAATAAACTACAAAAAATATGAGTGTCCTATTAATACACATATATTAATACAACTATACTAATAAATTATTAATTAAATTTTATGAGCAAAACCGTGTAATAAATTGTTTCAAATTTAGTTTATGTACCGCTGAAGCGAGTACAATAAATTGTTTGTTAAATTCATTATACAAAAATATCGTATTCCGGTGTTTTGATTAATTTTCTACCAAACCATTAAAATTATTTTTTTAAATAAAAACTAATTAATTTTTAATCACGGTTAATTTGGTTTATATTAAAATAAGTATGTTGTAATTAATATAACGACAATAGTACATGTAATTTGAATAAAAATATGAGTGTCCGGTTTCTGAGAGACTAGGGAACTGATTTAGAATCATATTTTTTTAAAAGAAAATTCATTATTTATTAAATTTAATATCTGTATTGAACAAAATTGTAACATGGAAATAACTGAGAGCTGTTTTTTTGTACTAAATCGATGGGAGAAGTTGGTTTGTTTTTCGATCCTTGATAAACATATTCTAAAAACATTGGATGTATTTTCACTTTCAGACCTCAATGATCTTTGGCTACGCTCTCGGTAAACATTCCTCACAAGTTGCTGAATAATTGAACAGCTTAAAAGCGTTTAATAAAGCGTTAACGGCAGTTTGGTGGCTGGAGATGTATTAGAGGAAATATAACTTTGTAATTTGGGGTTAATAATTATAAACGCACTTGGTTTTAAACGTAAATGTTTGTTTTTATTGGGGGTGGATAAACATTTTTGAAATGATCGACTATGTCCGACTTGTTTTGTTATGTTTTATTATATCCTATCGTCGATGGCGTATGATTAATAAACCAGTGAGGATAAACAGTGAAGTATTCGATTCTTGAACCGTTGGACGTTCAAGGGCGAAGAGGATCCGCCCGACCGTGTCATCTCCGGGTAATTTTTTTCTTTCCGACTCCACTTTTGGAAAGTCGAATAGTGGAAAGCGCGGCGTTCCAAATGGGCAATCGACCACCGCTACGATAAGCAATCCGACCGATTTTGTCTTGCACACCCTACGTTATCATAATTATGAAAACATTTTGGCGAAACCGAACTTATGCAGTCGCTTCACGCGCATTCCTCTTATGTACCTTCATACCTACTCTCCTTAATTGACAATACGTAAAGGTCTTAATAGGTAACAAAAGCAAGAAACAGAACAAACAAATGACCAAGGTCGAGAAAATCAGTTGAACTAGCAGTAACCGTCAAACGAAGATGACAGGGAAACGAGTTTTAGCTTACCCTCCCTAATATTAGATATTTTAAATATGTATAAAAAATTTATCAAATAAAAGTTTCAGTTGTACATAGAATCAAAAATATTAGTTATAATAATGTATGGATTTTTGGTATACCAATGGCAACTGGATAGCTTTTAACATATCCAAATCCATGGAAACACCAAGAATTGGAATTGCAAGTTTGGTTAATTTCCAAGCTCTTATTTCTCTTGGTTGGTTTTATTTAAAAATAGTTAGGTGAACTATTCCAATCATTTTATTTTTTACTTTTGGATATGCATTCAAGATTCAGCTGCCAGGCCCTTTAAAAGACATCTTTGGTGTTCAAAACACCAAGGTAAAAATAATTATATTATTATAATAATTATTATTATAATTGAAAGATGGCAAAAAGGAGGGAAAATTCAAAAAGGTGTAGTTGAGATGGTAGTTGGTGTCCGAGTGGATCGAAGTCACGATAGCTCAAGTGGTAGAGCAGCGGTGTATCAAGCCGAAGATCATGGGTTCGAATCCCCTCGTGCCTTGACTTTTTTATCTCAGCTGAAAACCTTAATTAATTGTAAGGTAAAAATAAGGTTACCCCGAAATTCCTAACCTGAAAAAGAATATTACTTGGTTGCAATATTTCAATAAATAACCTAAATAACTATCAATTAATTAATTTTTTTAATGTAAGTCTTGGCTGAAATTAAAGATTTAGTGTAACGAGCGGTATTCGAACACACGACCTTCGGCTTGATACGCAGCTGCTCTACCACTTGAGCTATCATAACCTCGATCCACTCGGATACTAACTTCCCACCTCAACCCCACTTTTTTATATTTTCCCTTCTTTTTGCCATTTTTCAAATGTCGTGTTATCAGAATTGGATTCTCGGCGACATATGAAGTGGCCACGGGGAGCTGTTAGTGAAGTTATACTTCGTTTTACTATTAATTCCATTATATTTCGTGGTCTGATTGACCAAATTACTTCTTTCAATTAATTAATCTTTTTGTGTAAGGCCTTTGCTGAAATAAAAATTGAAAAAAGTTGCTAAATTGTTTTCAGAGCATCTTTCCACAATTTTTACTGTACACCATGACATACTTGATCAAGACCATCAGTTTAACATTGAACACGACTTGAATGTCCCCTTGC